AAAAAAAAAAAAAAAAAAGAAAATTTAGTAAGGTAACTGGAAATAAACATAGCCATTTAGAAAGAATGTAGGAAAAAAATGCATTTACTGTTAAATTGAAAAAGATGCAGTAACAGGTTAAATGTACAAGAAATGTGAAAGATCTATGTAAAGAAAATTTTAACATGCTACCAAGTGGAGTAAAAGAAGACTTGGAAAAATAGAAACATATTCTTAGAAAGGAACTTTTGATGTAAATAAAGGTAAGAGTGCTTCCCTAAATTGATCTATAGTTTTGACAACATTTATATATAAAATACCAGGCTATGTGTGGTGGCTCATGCCCGTAATCCCAGCACTTGGGGAGGCCAAGGCAGGAGAACTGCTTGAGCTCAGGAGTTTGACTCCAGCCTGGATAACATAGCAAGACCTTGTCTCCGCAAAAAATGAAAATTAGCCAGGTGTGGTGGCATATGCTTATAGTCCCATCTACTTGGGAGGCTGAAGCAGGAGGATTGCTTGAGCCCAAGAGATTAAGGCTGCAGTAGGCTATAATCTTGTCGCTGCACTCCAGCATGGGCAACAGAGCCAAACCCTACCTCAAAAATAAAATATCTCAACTGAAGGCTTTAAGAAAAAAAAAAAGGAAACAAAAGTACCAATAAGATGCCTGGGAGGACCAAATTGAGCTGATTCTAAAGCTCATGTGGGCTCCCCGGGCTACCCAGAGAAGGGTCCGTATGACGTCGTTCTGGATTTCCATAGTAACTTAAAGGGAAACTTTCACAGTGTCTGGAACCCTCGATGTCCTGCAAATGAAGGAGGAGGATGTCCTTAGGTTCCTTGCAACAGGAACCCAGTTAGGTGGCACCAGCTTTGACTTCCAAGTGGAAGAGTACATATATAAAAGGAAAAGTGATGGCGTCTACATCATAAATTTAAAGAGGACCTGGGAGAAGCTTCTGCTGGGAGCTCGTGCTGTTGTTGCCATCGAAAACCCTGCTAATGTCAGTGTCCTATCATCTAGGAATACTGGCCAGGGGGCCATGCTGAAGTTTGCTGCTGCCTGCTGCTGGAGTCATTCCAATTGCTGGCTGCTTTACTCCTTGAACTTTCACTGACCAGATCCAATCAGGCTTTTAGGAGCTACAGCTTCTTATGGTGACTAATCCCATGGTGATCACAGCCTCTCACAGAGGCATCTTATGTTAACCTACCTACTATTGCTCTGTGTCACACAGATTTTCCTCTGTGCTATGTGGACACTACCATCTCATGCAACAACAAGGGAGCTCACTCAGTGGGGTTGATGTGGTGGATGCTGATCCAGGAAGTCCTGCGTGGCACTATTTTCTGTGGGAGGTCATGCCTGATCTCTACTACGGAGTTCCTGAAGAGATTGAAAAAGGAGAGCAGGCAGCTGCTGAAAATGCTGTGACCAAGGAGGAATTTCAGGGTGAAAGGACTGCTCCAGCTCCTCAGTTTGTTGCTACTCAGCCTGAGGTTGTAGACTGGTCTGAAGATGTGCAGGTGCCCTTTGTGCCTATTTAGCACTTCCCTCCTGAAAACTGGAGTACTCAGCCTGCCACAGAAGACTGATCTATAGCTCCCCACTATTCAGACCACTGAATTCATAGGAACAACCACTGAGTGGCCTTAAGCTGTTCTTGCACGGGCTCTTAAGCAACATGGAAATAAGGTTGATGAAAAAGAAACATTGGCCAGGTGCGGTGGTTCATGCCTGTAATCCCAGCACTTTGGGAGGCTGACGCAGGCAGATCACCTGAGGTTGGGAGTTCAAGAGCAGCCTGACCAACATGGTGAAACCCTGTCTCTGAAAAAAAAAGAAAAAGAAAAAAAAAAAAAGAAAAAGAAACATCGGTTTGGGCTTGGTGGCTCATGCCTATAATCCTAGCACTTTGGGAGGCTGAGGCAGGTGGATCACTTGAGGCTAGGAATTGAAGACTAGCCAGGACAACATGGCAAAACCCTGTCTCTACTAAAAATACAGAAATTAGCTGCGTGTGTTGGCACACACCTGTAATCCCAGCTGCTTGGGAGTCTGAGGCATAAGAATCGCTTGAACCTGGCTGGGCTTGGTGGCTCACTCCTGTAATACCAGCACTTTGGGAGGCTGGGGTGGGCAGATCACAAGATCGGGAGATTGAGATCATCTTGGCTAACATGGTGAAACCCTGTCTCTACTAAAAATAGAAAAAATTAGCCAGGTGTGGTGGCACGTGCCTGTAGCCCCAGCTACTCAGGAGGCTGAGATAGGAGAATCGCTTGAACCTGGGAGGTAGAGGTTGCAGTGAGCCGAGATTGCAATACTGCACTCCAGCCAGGCAATAGGGCGAGAATCTGTCTCAAAAAAAAAAAAAGAAAATAAACATTGGTTTCTAAAAAAAACAAAAGTCCATGTGGAAAACAAAAAGTTATGAAAAAGAAAAATGATGCAAATAATTTAATTCAATCAGATAATAAGGCATAAAGTTATAAGAATAAAAAGTTTGCTATTAATCATGAATAGACACACACCTGTTAAAGATATAAATAGACCCAAATGTGTATGGAAAGTTAATGTATATAAAAGTAGAGAAAAGGAGATTTAGCAAATGTGTTAGCACAATGATATGAATACCAGGAGGTGGGAATCATTGAGGACCATCTTGGAGGCTTTCTTCCACGTGATGAGTCTATATACAGGTATTTACTACATTATTATTTCAACTTTTTTATTTTGAAATTTTTCAGAAAATAATAAAGTTGATTGCATAAAAAGTAAATCATTTTGCATGATAGAAAATATTACAGTTGGCTGGGTGCAGTGGCTCATGCCTGTAATCCCAGCACTTTGGGAGGCCGAGGAAGGCAGATCATGAGATCAGGAGTTCAAGACCAGACTGGCCAACATGGTGAAACTCCGTCTCTATGAAAAATACAAAAATTAGCTGGGCATATTGGCTTCTGCCTGTAATCCCAGCTACTTGGGAGGCTGAGGTAGGAGAATTGCTTGAACCGGGACCCAGGAGGCAGAGGTTACAGTGAGCCAAGATCGCCAATGCTGTACTCCGTCCTGGGCTACAGAGTGAGACTCCATCTCTAAAACAACAAAACAAAACAAAATATTACAGTCACAGTACAAATGACAAACTGGGGAAGAAAGTGTGAAACAGTAAAGCAGAGCTAATTTCCATAGTATGCAAAGTATTCTTACAGATCAATAAAAACCCATCAGAAAGATGAGCAAAGACATGAGCAGACAGCGTACATAAAAAATACACAGTTGGGCCAGGCACGGTGGCTCATGCCTGTAATCCTAGCACTTTGGGAGGCCGAGGTAGGTGGATTACCTGAGGTCAGGAGTTCGAGACCAGCCTGACCAACATGGAGAAACCCCATCTCTATTTAAAAAAAAAAAAAAAGAAAGAAACAAGAAAAAAATACAAAGTTGTTGGCTAGGCCCGGTGGCTCATGCCTATAATCCCAGCACTTTGGGAAACCAAGACAGGTGGATCATAAGATCAGGAGTTTGAGACCAGCCTGGCCAATATGGTGAAACCCCATCTCTACTAAAAATACAAAAACTAGCCAAGTGTGGTGGCAGGTGCCTGTAGTCCCAGCTACTCGGGAGGCTGAGGTAGGAGAATCGCTTGAACTAGAGAAGCGAAGATTGCAGTGAGCTGAGATTGCACCACTGCACTCCAGCCTGGGCGACAGAGCGAGACTCTGTCTCAAAAAAAGAAAAAAAAGCAATAGTAATATTAAAAGCACTAGTAATTACAAGTTCTCCATTTTTTGGTACAAGCAATAGAATGATCACCTTTATTTTTTTCTCTTCCCATGACAGATTATCACCTATTTTTTGCTTATCGAAGTTTTAAGTAATGTTCTGAGTTTTGTTAGTTGTCAATTAATATACAGATTTGTGCCAGGCACAGTGGTGTGTGCTTGTAGTCCCAGCTAATTGGGAGGCTGAGCCAGGAAGATCCCTTGAGACCAGGAGTTGGAGACAACCTGGACATCATAGTGAGACACTGTCTTAAAAACAGAAATAATAAAAGTAATTTGCTTGAGACACTGTCTTAAAAAAAGAAACAATAAAACTAATTTGCTTTTATGTCTTGTACATTTATCTGGATGAATTTTGGCCTTTTTTTCCTCTTTGAATTCAATTAATGTAAACTTTTGTTTGAATTGTTTATCTTTTCTAATAGTTACTGGCAATTCCTGTGGAAAAATCTGTTAAGCTATATAGAAGAGAAACTTGGAGTCATCAATTTGATCTTTCAGATAATTTTATCTCTCAGGTAGGTTTTATAAAGTGACACTTTCAGTGGGCTGTAAGGAGTATTTAATGCGTAGTTTGCCTAAGTACAGTTGCAGTTAAATATTATTGGAATGGAAATCTCTTGGCTCTTGCATGTGGTCCACCTTCTAACTCTCATCCTTTCTTCATTTGATCAATAACTGGATACTAAATAGGGCTTTGCTAGGTCCTATCTTAACTTTCTCCTTTGTGAGATTGATTAAAAGATCTTTTAATTTATAAGAAGTCAAGTTTAACCCTTGCATAGTATTAGAACAAGTTACTCTAAAATTATCAGTAGTTAGCCTTTATTGTTAAGTGAGTTTCACTGAGACTTGTGATTATAGGCTCTGAAACTTTAGAGCAAGAAGGGTTATTGGTCTATTTTCTCTTTCTCTTACACGCACACATATTTTACAGTTAAGGAAATATAAGCCTAGTAGGTCAGCAATGGCTTATTAAAGTTCACCTCACTTACTGGTTTTCTTCATTTTGATTGTGAATGCTAAGAGAATGTCTTTAATTATCTCCCTTTCTAAGATAATAACATTTTTTAGATTTTGCTTTGAAAATTGTGCCTGTGGCTGGGCACAGTGGCTCATGCCTATAATCCCAGCACTTCGGAAGCCTGAGGCAGAAGGATTGCTTGAGGCCAGGAATCCAAAACCAACTTGGGCAACAAAACAAGACTCCATTTCTAAAAAAAAAAGAATACTAAAAAATTAGCCAGGCGTGGTGGTGCATGCCTGTAGTCCTAGCTACTTGGGAGGCTGAGGCAGGAGGATCTCTTAAGAGTTGGAAATTGCTTGACCTGCATATCAAAATAAAGAAAGAAAGAAAGAAAAAAACAAAGAGTTGGAAATGGCAGTGAGTAATGATGGTGCCACTGCACTGCAGCCTAGGTGACAGAGCAAGACCCTGACTCTAAAAATAAAACTGTGCTAGTATATTTTTTCATGATAAACAAAGTAATAGCTGGTAGTGATACTTGAATATTACTGAAAAATAAGGTTAGAAAATAAGCGAACTTTGTCTTGTCATTTGTGTATCAAATATAATTAAAAATAATATAGATTAGGGATATAAAAATTTGAATATGGTTGTTTATCCTCTGAATTCTTGAAAAAAAATGAAAATTGAATTTGGTAATGAGTAGTTTGAAATTTTACAAAATCACTATTTATTAACTGTTTTTCTTTACAGACCCTCAATATAGTAACCTGGTCTCCCTGTGGGCGATATTTAGCTGCAGGCAGTATTAATGGTCTAATTATAGTTTGGAATGTGGAAACCAAAGACTGCATGGAAAGGTATGATTTAGTATATCTTCTGTCTCTTCTTTGCTCGTCTCTGTTAGTTTTGTATTTGTTTTATTTTGAAACATTTCAAATCTGCCATCAGATTGTCAGAATGAAAATATAATTAAACTTATTTATAAATTATTGTCAAAAGTCATTTAATCTTTTCTATCTAAAATTTACCTAAATATATATGTACAGGTTATATATATGTTTTTCTTGACAATATTTTTAGAACCTACTTTTTAACTTTTAGGGTGAAACATGAGAAAGGTTATGCAATTTGTGGTCTGGCGTGGCATCCTGCTTGTGGTCAAATATGTTACACTGATGCAGAAGGAAATCTAGGGCTGCTAGAGAATGTCTGTGACCCCAGTGGAAAGACATCAAGCAGTAAGGTAAAAAGTAGTATGGTACAAATTTCTTCAGAGTGTTTCTGTTATGCGGATTTGGAAGACACCACCAACTGCCTTACTTTCTTGGAAAATTACTTTCATGTTTACTATAGTAGATGCTGAGTAGTAACCTGTAGTAAAGAAAACTACTTACTTGTTCAACCTGTTGTCTCCAAAGTGTATTTTACTAAGAAACTTTTTTTCTCTCCATATAATGCCTTTCCAAGGAATACCTTTCATTAAGTAGTATTTTGTATCAGGTCCCAGTTTGGCCTACAGACTATTTCTACTCTGAATTAGCCTTCATTCTTAGAACTACCTGTATACCTCCTCTGCTTAGTCAAATAGCTTTACCGAACTACTTTAAAGGCACCTTGTTTTTTTTTTTTTTT